GACTCGTTTGCCTGATTTGCACCAATTGTCATTTGTGTATGTGATAACACCACCGCCTCGTTTGTGAACCGGCACGGGTCGGTCAACTCGGCAGATTGTTTGCGTTCAATTAACAAGAGATTTTTAAATTTTCTGGTGTAACGCGCTAAACCGCAGTTGTAGCGTTTTCGGCAACTTGCAATATCAGTCCGTGGGAATTCTGTGTATTCCTCAATGAACCTTTGGGTTCGCGATGGATTGTTTATTATTCTTACATATTACCCGAGTAATGGTTCCACGGTGAACCTCTTATCCGTCACCTGTTCTGATCCACACCAAAGCTCCGACCGTATCCAGCCCGCACATTTTACACAATGTCTGATTACACTATAAAACGCAGGTGTTCAACGTATTATTTTCAAATTTTAAATTCACTGTCAATTAGTATATATATATATATATATATGACAATAATTAGTATGCGAATGAGTGGACAAAACTTCCCTGGAAGCACACGACCGGTTTCGCGGTTCTTGCCGCTCGTCAGGCATGCGTATCCGGTAATCTTTTGCCAGTTAATTCATATACTTCTACACAGGAAGTGTATTTTCGTCACAACACCGGCTGTCCATTGGATAGATAGCTCTTAAAGAGCCAGTTCAATGAAGAATCAATGCTAGGATTCGATGTTTGTAAGTGGGCTAGATGCTACTAACCGCAACAAACGTATATATATATATATTAACACACGTCTGGATCCAGACTGTGTGCCAAACAAATCATGGTACAATATTCTTTGTAAAAATAATAGCGTTCCAACCAAGTTCCATCCACCTCGGCAAGGCCCTTATGAGTTCATTTTTCAACGCTCGCCGACCGTCTATACCATCCGTAAAATTGACTCTCGCAATAACGAAACAGTAACTGTACATTTCAATAGGCTGAAATACTAACTGTCAGTCGAGAAGAATAAGTGTATCCAGATAAGGTGGATTCACCTCTTTTGTATTTCCTTGAGTGAACAGTCAATCTATCGTATTAAGCTGATCGTACTGTTGTGAAGCCAATAAAGCAACCAATTATCCAAGTAGTGAGTACCTCTTAGGTATCGATGCTCTCTGAAACGCTTCCTGTCTGTCTGTCTATAATCTATCTGATTGCTTGAACAAAAAAGCAAACCTGATGGCAATGGTTACTCCATTGTTTTTAACTGTTTACAATTATTAGGAATTCCTAAAAAATAAAGAAAGTTCAAAACGGACACATCACTGTAAACTTAGACCAATACCTGATACATTTTACCAAATAAACAAATTCTAACTTAAGTGATTCTGTGACTGGATAGCATTAGTCTATTTCGAATCGGTGATAAAGGTCAACTTCTGTCTGTTAGACTACACCATTTGGCACGATAAATCAATTTGTTGTGACCAAACTTGACTGATCCAAACTAAACATAGCTTGCCTTCCGAAACCCAACCAAAGAAAAATTTCACTTCAAACTGCATATTGTTTGCACGAATGTAAATAATTGCGATTTTTTTATCAATCAGTAGCTACTGGATTGCGGAAGTTGTGTTCCATCACCCATAGATGGTTTCTTTGGGACATCACAAGGGTAAAAGTAGGAATTGTGCCACAACATTCATCATGAGGACATAACATGAAATAAAAACTGCTTAAAAATGAGTTCCAGTTCTGGTAGTAATTATTCTGTGCTTTTGTACACTTACAATGTACTGGTTTTGTTGAGGTGGGTTATTTGCGCCGCCGGTAGTGGCATCCGTTTCAGTGGTGTTCGATGTCGCAGTGATTCCGTGTGCACTAATGATGGACTCGCGAGCAGATGGCACTTTTGTTGTCAACTGTCGATCATATTCCCCTATGATCGAGGCTCTTTGTGTGCCCCCGAATTCGGATACTCCGAGAACGGTGAATGTGCCGGCTTCGGTGAAAGATTTCTGTGATGTATGGGTTGACTCCTCATGTGGTCTCTGCTTTCGCAACACTGTAGTTCCGTAAGTTGTCGGTATTTTGAACAAACGGCGGTCGGTTACAATTGATTTGTAAAACGCCAGGCCAAAAGGAGTACCATAAGGATCCGAATTGCTACTGCTACTTGAATCACCGAATAACGTTTTGAGTAGACTACGATGTACAGATGAATCACGAGATAGAAAATCCTCAATTGCTTCCAACGGGTCAGCAAAACCCAAGTTTTTACAGACAATGTTCAAAAATGCTCGACTAGTATCGAATGAAACCATTGTTTATTCTTATTTCTGGAAAACTGTTGATCTAAAAGGCTGTTAACTGAGCAGATGCATTGGCTATATTTAAAATTGGCATCCAGTCTCAACGTTTGTTGGTTTCTCAATCAATCGATGCACGTGATGTGATTTCTGCAGGCGATTATCTGGGACGGGATCACGCGGTAGGACCGAATTCGCGTGCGTTTTCAATAAAAGGTTCATTTTTATCATTATGAGGAACTTTATCTGTACAAGCATAATAGAAATCAGTCCACAATGCATGCTTGATTAGTAATGTAGCATTTATTTAGGCTGACAGTTAGTAAACTAACCGTTGATATAACTTCCGCGGAAATATATATATACATATATATATTCACGAGTGAGAATATATATATCGCTGTGTCGTAAACAGTGGCGTTCGTACATCTTCTCAAGTTCGCTGAAACTCTAAATTGTCTCCTTGATCCCACTTTCAACCTTTCTTGTCTTTTCCTAATGTTCATCCAGATGGGCACACGATCGTGCATGGTTAATGTGAGTACAAACTGAAACTATTAACACAGGCGCGTCAGTGCGAAAGTATTACAATTAATACTATTCCGAAGGTGAAAGAAAATTCTCGTCGCCGTATTTTGCTATGTATGCAGCAGGATGGAAAACGTAATCAGCAAACTTTATAAAATAAATAAGCATTTTTCCAAAATAATTGTTCTTTCTTTCTTTCTTTCGGAGTTGTATATCATCCGTAGGTAGCAAGATAGTTCAACGCGAAAAAGCCAGTTAGTAAAACGCTAAGAAGGGTTCTGCGTTGGCCTATATTATTGGATATTGTAGTCCGCAGTTAAGACAAGTTCAGTTTTATTATGATTATCCGTTTACCGAACGGGCTTGGAAAAATAGTGCGTGTATCTTAGACGAGTCAAACGTTGGCCCAGTGTCATCATCGCTTGAGCATTTTCCATTCGGAATTTCCCACATGGCGTATCGTTCCACAACTGATTCTCCTGTGGTGATTCTCTACCAGCACTTAGGCAGTGTCGGATTCGGAACCCATCCTCCTCCTGTGCCGGCCCGAAAATCACACGACCGATCGGGTTCATTTATCGATCGGTCGGATGGTTCAGCCTCAACAAAGGACCTGGTGCTTGCCCAGTTAACCCGAACGAGAAACCACACCTTGTTTACAGCCGCGAGTCTTAGATGGACCCAGTGAACTTCGACTGTACGGCAGGCGTGCCTTCACCACACGGATGGTCTAAACGTGACAACAAGAGTATCACGGAAAGTACAAGACAATGTGGCACGACGGAACAATTGCGCTGTCGTACTATCCAAATAGCAACATGCCATCTTAAATTCATATTCGTAAATCTTAAATTCATATTGTGACGTCCGGACATCTTAAATTGAAAAAGATACAGAGTGGAGCTTATTGGAGCATTGTTCAAAACTAGGGGTTCCGGTGTGAAAAAGTTCCAAGTAAGAAGAAGGATTCACCGGAGGTAAGGTCAGTTGCATGCAGAGTTCAAGTGAGAGAGGGAGACGAAAGCCCGAGAAAAACAAAAGAATCGGAACTGAAAAAGGAACTGCTAGAAGTTAATGATGGATGTAGTTGTTGTATTTAACAGAAAAAGACGGACCAGAAGTTCAGGAGGGATTGACTGATGTGCAGTTGATTAAGCCCCAGATTTCAATTCGGTCGAGATTATAGGTCATTGTCGTGTGCATGTTTGATCAGCTACGAGAGACGTTTGATAAAATGTGATAAGGTGGGTGTTATAAAGAGCTGTAAATGTTGGCAAAATCTACGGAGAAGAGGCTGAAGTGGGATCGATTGTACTGTAAAATCCGGGCAATATTAGACATTTGCCGGACGTCACATTTCCTCTACAATCTAATCACATGTTCACATTTTAATCTCAGTACCAACGCATTGGGACACTTGTTTTATACGGTTACTTTATACTGCATCCTTCCACGCGAGGACTTTCACCTTTTGCTTTCTATCCGTTTGCACCTTATCATGCAAGCTGGTCCTAGTTGCTTTAGTGCCTTAGCGCAAATCTTCGTTAGCGCGTACAGATACATTTCCTGTACCACGCTACTTCAATACAAGTGCACCACAAACACAAGTCTGCTGGTTTAACCAGTGGTAACTTGGTAATTTGTGAGTAACGGGGCCCGTTCAGAAGCTCTTCACGTCTGGCCGTAGTTGTCACACTTCAATGTCATTATCACCATACTCGAGGCAAAAATAGCGGACTTAAGTTCATGGATCACACCAGTTAGCCCGATCCGGAAACCCAGCAAACGACCAAAATGCTCAACACAAGTGGTCACCCCTCGGTAGGGGACGCACACGGCTGAACTGGGAGCGACGACAAAAGCGACAGTAGAAGCACTTGCTACCTCGGAGCCCACACACCCAGTGGCCTCCCTTAACTGCTTCCTTAAAGAAAACATCTCTGCCTGAAAAAAAGAAAGACGTGACCAACACTTCCTTGACTGTGATTTGCACAAACGTTTCTGAGCCCACAGCATTGTCACTGAGAGAAAGACGAAATGAAGAGCTGAGGTGCTGGGAGGCTCTATGTACGCAAATGGGGATCAGCGCCCAACCTACGGGTCTCACACGCCTTCGGCGACAGCCTAATTCACCTCACGCCGGAGAACCCCGGTTACTTCGGGTGATACTATGTAGCGAATCAGACGTGGAAATTTCCCAACGAACAGTGTGATCCCCTGATATCCCTGGAAGAATTTACAAACCACCTGACGGAAGTGGTGAAAGGCGCGACGAAGACCAAACACATCACCTACTCAACTGGTCAAAGATCAGTGATTTGAAGTCGGACAAAAAAGTGGAGTTCGCCGAGGAATATCTCATGGAGAGCTTATAACCGATCTCCTTGCAACAACACATGGTATGCCTACTGTGCACTCTGAAACCATTGCACCAACTTGGAGCGAGAAGACAAGTTAATACACCAAGAAATGCTCATGAGCAAGTTCATATCACATCCCAAGCTGTTGTACAAACACAAATGCCACCAGAAAAGTTAAATCTGGTGTTCCAAAGCTAAGGATAGCAGAACGTGTTTCAGTCAAAACAAAGGAGGCTGCCGAAATGCTAAAACGTCAGTACGCTCAAGTGTTCACCGCATCTGCGAACACCAGACTACGACTGCCTCTGTTACTCGAGGATATATCACATCAAGTGCTCA